TAGTTTTCTACACAGGTTCTGGGGATCACACTCAGGTCTTCACACAGCACGCACTCTCTAGCAGAATCCCCTCCCTAGACCCTCTTGTTGTTTCTTGGAGCTCAGGGATGGTTTGCTTAGCATAGTCCAATCTACTGATAAGCTCTTCAAAGACATTTCTCACTTCTCTGCTGTATTTTCTTCTGGGCCTTTCCTTTGGAGATTTCCTCGGTGTTTTCTATCTCTGTTTATATTACCCATCTGTTCTTCCATGCCCGTGTGCTCCCTTAGAGCCCTCGGTGTGTTTATGGGAGATGTTTTAAATTGCTGTTCTGATTATTTGCACACACCTGCCTCACAAGAGTCTGATTCTGATAGCTTCTGTGTTTCTCCAGAATCTACCCTTTGGCTTTTATTAATCGCATACCTTGAAATTTATTAATGAAAGGTAGACATGATGTATCAGAGACTGAGGAGAACAGGCCTTTACTGCCAGGCTTTCTGTTTACCTGGCAAGGGTGTAGGCTGTGTATTAGCCCCTCTTCTGTGGTTTTCCCTACCTACTCCCCCACAGTCAGAATCTAAGGGTTGTGGTCTTTTAGCTGCCATATCTATTGCCATTCAGGAGCCTACTGTGATGTGTGTGTGTGTGTGTGTGTGTGTGTGTGTGTGTGTGTGTGTGAAGCTTGGGCAGCCCTGTGATGAGGCCTCAGTGTTTGCTGAGCCCGTTTTCTGGGCTGTGACCTTCACTAGAACTTCTTGGCTCTTCCTGTTGTCACTGGTCTTAGGAAGGACTGGAAGTCTAGAGAGAAGTGTCTGGGGTTGGATATTCTTCTGCCCAGCTAGCTTGGTTCTAGAAAAACAGATTGCCATGAAGGCAGCTTCTGTGAAGGAGAAGAGAATGTTCTGGGCCTGAGGATCCCACCCCTGCCCTCTCAGAAGGGTAAGGAGGCTCTGTCTTGTTCTTCACTGGGAAGACCTGGTGACAGTGTGGAGGGTGAGAGTCACATCTGTGACGTTCTCTGTGGTGGAGCCCTTGGATTTCCTGCACTCTCACTCAACATCCAAGCAGTTGTCAGCCATGATGAGATTTTCCTGCTTCAGCTCTTGTTCCAAGGAGGCTCTGGCCCTTTCAACCTGCAGGCCCAGCAGTGGAGCCAAGAAGAGTTTTTTTTTTCTCTCTCTCTCTTAATTTTTACATTAAAAACAAGGCCTCATGTAGCCCAGCTTTGCTTCACACTCACTGTGTAGTTGACCTTGAATTCCTGATCCTCTAGCCTATGCTCCCCCCCCCCCCCCCCCTAGCCCTCCTCCCCCCCCCCCCCCCCCCCCCCCCCCCCCCCAGTGCTAAGAGTACAGGCCTATGCCACCAAAAGCCCAGTTGTTGCCTTTTAGTTCATTTGCAAGACCATGGAGGTTAAGTACTTTAGGTAAAGCCCGTTGTGGTAACAGGAAGTGCTAGAACTCAGTGTGTTCTTTTCATTCACTCTGTAATTGGGCCCACTAAGTTCCTGCCTTGATGAGATTTTTCATTTGGACAGGTGTCTTAGTGTTCTGTTGCTGTGAAGAGACACCATGACTATGGCAACTCTTATACGGGAAGCATTTAATTAAGGCTGGCTTAGAGGTTCAGAGGTTTAGCTCATTGTCATCATGGTGGGAAGGATGGCAATTTACGAGCAGAAATAGTGCTGGAAAAGGAGCTGAGACCTCTACATCTGGATCTACAGGCGGCAGGAAGAGAGAGCCCCTGGGTCTGGCTTGGGCTTTTGAAACTGTAAAGCCCAGCCCTAGGGACACACTTCCTCTAGCAAGGCCACCCCCTTCCAATTCTTTCAAATAGTGCCAGAGCAAGCACAAATCACAACTTTTGAAACCACTATAAAATGCTGTGTATTAACAAAAACATGTCCTACTCAGAAAATCAAACATTCATTTGTTTTAAAATTGTCACCCCCATTTCTAGATGAGGAACAAGAAGTTCAGAGAGGTTGTGTCACCCCTGTAACGTCACCCAGGCATAAGACGGCTGCATCAATATTTCCACTGAGGAGGCCAGAGTCCAGCAGGCAGCAGCTCCCTGCAGAGCTAGGCTGGGGTGAGGGTTCATCAGGTGGTGTACTTTGACCCGCTAGACACTCTGTGACCGTGTGTGGTTTGTCCCTGCCATGGTCAAAGAATGGAACACCCAGGAAAGACATGAGTCCTAGAGAGGAGAAGAGGAAAAGACCATCTTATCTCCTGTATCCCTTAATGGTCAGTAGCTGGCTTAGGTATTTTACAGGGCTCTTGAATGGCCCCCTTCTTTTATTGGCCCTGTTTAGAAACCTGCCTCAATTTCTTCCCCATCATTTCTACTCTCAGTGTCTTCAGGGAAAAAGTAGCTTCCATCTCAGGGTACCCGCTTTTGCCTTTCTTGCCCACCTATGTCCCTTTAACTCCACCATTCCCAGAAGAGAGAGGGACAGTCACAGTACAGGTCCTTATCTGCTGTCTGCATGGCTCAGGCACACCTACCTTCCTGTCACCAGTCCCTGCTTCTGCTGTCTGCTTTCTCCAGCAAGGCCAGCAGAGGAAGAAGTGTGAATAAGGATACCCCAGTCAGGGGAACAGGAGGGCAGTGTGCTGTCCTCGGAGAGGGGAAGGAGGGGAACATGGGGAGAGATGGGGGGAACTGAAGCCTACTTAGGCTGGAGGGGGCAGCAGAGCCAGGGAAGCTGTTAAAGATCTCATCTCCACTAGAAGCTGTGATGGCCGTGGTTGGTCCCTGCAGCTGATGCGGTGCCACCAGCTGCTGGTGCTATGTTGGCTAGTGGAAAATGGGAGGAGTCTAGCAGGAGTAACAGCCACTTTGTTCCAGGTGTCTTCCCACACTCATGCCTCCATTCCTTCCACCTGTCCATCATGAAGTTATTTTCCCCACTGTGAGCGCCTGGCTGCCATGCTCAATTTCCTGACGAAGAGACGGTGGAGCCAAATAACAAGGGAATGAAGCCTGTGAAAAATGACCCCAAATAAACACATTCTCCTTTTAAATCTTTACTCTTGGGCATTTGTCACAGTGGGAAAACACACAGAAGCAGAGAGTGATTTTGCGTGTGGAGACAGGATGTGGCAGGTGTTGTCCATCGGGGGGCACTGTCTGTACTCCTGCAAGGAAAGGGGGAAGGGAGTGGAGTGGGGGAGAAAACAATGGATTGAGGCAGAACTGGTGCGTGAGCCATGCCCAGTGGGAGAAGAGCCTGGAGGAGGTTTACAGACACCATCAGCAGTCAAGGTAGAGAAGCCAGGCTGTGAGGTAAGTTCAATCTGGACCCAGCATGTTGAGTCTATTCCAGTGTTATAGACACAGGGTAGGCAGCGGTGAGCAACAAGGAGGATGCAGTCAGGGATGGCTCACCATATCCAGTGGAGGGCTATGGTCTAGAGCGCTGGAGAGAGGTGTGGTAG